AAAAAAAAAAAGAATCTTCCAGGTATCTATCATCTGGCTTCAACAAACAATATTTTCACTGTCCTATTTCATCTATGTTCCTCAATGAATTTATTTTAAATTTATTTGTGTTTATATTTGTTTACTCTGAGGTATAGGTAAGTGTCAATCTGAAGTATTTATTTATTGATTTAATTTTTTTTGGCTGGGGCTGGGTTTGAACCTGCTACCTCTGGTGTATGGGGCCAGTGCCCTACCCACTGAGCCACAGGCACCGCCCTATTGATTTAATTTTTTTTTTTTTTTTTGAGACAGAGCCTCAAGCTATCCCCCTGGGTAGAGTGCCGTGGCATTATAGATCACAGCAACCTCCAACTCCTGGGTTCAAGCGAGTCTCCTGCCTCTGCCTCCCAAATAGCTGGGACCACAGGCGCCCGCCACAATGCCCGGCTATTTTTTGGTTGCAGCCGTTATTGTTGTTTGGCGGTCTGGGCTGGGGATTCGAACCCGCCACCTTAGGTGTACGTGGCTGGCGCCTTAGCTGGTTGAGCTATAGGCGCTGAGCCTGATTTAATTTTTTAAAGAGACAGGGTCTTGGTCTGTTGTCCAGGTTGAAGTGCAATGGTGTCATCATAGGTCACTTCAACTTCTAATGCCTGGGCTCAACAGATCCTACCACCTTAGCCTTCCAAGTAGCTGGCACTATAGCTGCATGCCACCATGCTTGGCTAATTCTTAAAATTTTTCTGGTACAGAGTCTATGTTGCACAGGTTGGTCTCAAACTCCTGGCCTTAAGTGATTCTCCTGTCTCAGCCTCCCTAAAGTGCTGGGATTACAGGTGTGAGAACCACAGTGCCTGACAGTCTTAAGTATTTATTACAGAATAATTCTTGCTATGTCTGAAGTTTTTTAAGGGCAAAATCATCTCAAAGATAAGTTAAGTACACTCTTTAAACTGCCCTCTATGTTGAAAGGAGGAGCTCCATTCTAGATGTGTAAACACTGTGCAAGGTGTCACTTAATCCCTAAGATTGTGATACTTTTATGACCTGTCAATCTCTGATTCTCCGTGTGGATTAACTTTGTGAGACTACAGATTTTCACTTAAAATTAGGTTTATCCCTGTCACCAAGCAGGCTGTACATGCATCGTTCTTTCTGCTTTTTCTTGATTACTGCCATCTAATGTCTGTTTAGAAAATGGAAACTTAACTCTGTTGCAGTCTCAGCCTAACAGAAGAAAACACGGCACATTTGTGGTCTAAATAGATCACATGACTTTATTACAAAACAAAGAAAAATGTCTGGTGTGGGAGAAAGTCTTTCCCACTAGCATGAATAAACCTGCCCTTCTAGAAACAGGGGAGGGGAGAGATTGGGGTGAGGCTCTTATTTTTCATTTTAACTCTTTTAGTAGTGCTGGACTTTTTAAATGATGCTCCTGTATTGCTTTTAAGAAACAAAGGAACAAAATTTTGAATGATGAGGTCCCATTTCTTGAGAACTACCCAGAGAAACAAGGCAGCAAGGAAGCCCTGAGATTTAAATATTTAAAAAATCAAATAGATCTCCTCAAATGGATTGCTAACACTGAGGTTAAGACCTGTAACACAAATTTTTCCTCGTTGCCTACGTCACACTCTCCTAAGCACATATTTCACACTCAATAACCTTTTCTGAAATAATATTATTTTCTGAAATGAACTGGATTTTGTGTGTGACCTTAGGCAAATCGTTCAATTTTTCAGTGTCTTATAGTTTTTTAATGATAAATCTTACCTATCTTTGGACATTGTTTTTTGGCGCAGATCAAAAATATTGCAGAGCAGAGAGGCAAAAGCATTGGCTAAAACACCGAACCAATGTAACAATGACAGGTTCCGGGTCTTGGAACCCACTGAGGAATTTTGGGAGGAGGACGCTAGGCTTGGGGAGCTAGGATGGGTAGGATGGGAAGATCAAGGACCCAGCAGACGACAGTTCCTATTTCAACCTGCGGACAGAAGCCAAGCGTTCCAGCGCGTACCCCCAGGACCAGCTGCCCTTTCCCAGGACAGAATGGACTCTCTCACCTGCGCCCGTACCCCGGCACACCCTCTCAGGGTCCATACCTGGTTAGGGTCTCAGTCCCCGCGCCCTCCAGTGGCTTTGGTCTCGATTTCCCGGCTCTGGAGGAACAGAGACTTCTGCCCCTCCCACGACTTCGACCTGTCCCTCGGACCCGCCCCTTAGTAGAGCGTTTGAGTCCGCGGCGGAAGCCAGGAGCTTGCCATTCCTGCCCAATACCCTGTTACTGGCTGCCACTAAGCCTAGTCCTTCCCCAGACTGTGAGCTCATTAGCTTCTTCTCAACTCCGCCCTTTCCGAAGGGCGGTACAAGATGGCCACGCCCCAGCCCCAGGGATTGGTGGAGAAACTCAAATTAGCCCCGCCCCATGCTAGCGAGGGGAGGAGAGTCCAGTTAAGGGTGAGCCGGGATTGAACAGCTGATTTTCGAGAACTTGCGCTGGGCTGCAGAACCGAAACCAGCTTGAGAGCCCTGGGGGAGCTAAGGGACCCGTAAGAAGGGGTGGGACCAGAATTTCAATACTCTGGGATAGGAAGGGGAGGACTGGGGTAATAAAAACAATAATAAGTATTTTTTGACAGTACTGGGATACGCACTTTACTGTCCTTGTGTCTTTCCAAAACAACCCATTCAAGTGAAAGTCATTATCTGAACTTTAGAAGCTATTTAAAAAGTTGGCTTTTTCCAAGAAAGAAGACACTAGTCAGTGATTACTCAGGCACAGACAAGCAGAGCCTGGATTCAAGATCAAATCCTCTGACTCCAAATGCCAAATCTTTACATTTCTACTTTTTTTTTTTTTTTTTTTTTTGAGACTGGGTAGAGTGCTATGGCGTCACAGCTCACAGCAACCTCAAACTCTTGGGCTCAAGAGATCCCCTTGCCTCAGCCTCCCCAGTAACTGGGACTACAGGCCCCCACCACAACACTGAAAAAAATATTTTCTTTCTATTGTTGTAGAAATGGGTCCTTCTCTTGCTCAGGCTGATCTAAAACTTCTGACCCTAGGCAATGCACCCGCCTTGGCCTCCCTGAGTGCTGGGATTACATATGCCACCCACTGCGTCTACATTTTGCAGCCATGCTTTCCTCCTGGATAAAAAATCAGAGATTTAGTCTCAGTGCCTGTAGCCCAGTGGTTACAGTGCTGGCCACATACACCAAGGCTGGCCAGTTCAAACCCAGCCCGGGTCAGCTAAACAACAATAATGACTATTTGCAACAAAAAATAGCTGGACATTGTGGTGTGGGCCTGTAGTCCTGGCTACTTGAGAGGCTGAGGCAAGAATTGCTTGAGCCCAAGAGTTTGATGTTGCTGTGAGCTGTGACGCCACGGCACTCTATTCAGGGCAACACAGTGAGTCTGTCTCAAAAAACAAACAAACAGATTTAGATTTTGAATACGCACATGTACAGCTTTTGTATTATTATCAATTTATTCACTCTGTGGTTACCCCTATAGTCCAAGACTGCCAGCCCCAGGATCTAAGTCATAAGAAGTAGCTCTTGAATGAGGTCCATCCCCAGTAGGGAGCAGACTTTACTTCTTCTGACACCAAAGGAGTCATGGTAGTTGTTTCTTCCAAATCACTCATATATGAGGTGCCCACCAAGCCCTCCATGCTGGTCTCTTGCTGAGGGATGTTTACCTCTTTTTTCTGATAGAACTGGATGAACTGCAGAACTCCAGCCTTTAATGCAGGTCTAAGTGCAGTATGTATCACTAGACCTGCTGGCCCACTTGGCAGCCCACCTATGGCCATCAGAAGGTCATATCCCAAATCTATGGCCCCTTCTTGGCCCCGTTCTTTGGCCTTGTCTGAGCAGTTCTGAGCAGCATAATACAATGCTGTGCCCAGGTTGTAGTAAGTTATCACTCCTGGCAATAGCCTGAGGATATTGTGCACGCTTTGTTCCTGCTCATTTTCACAGTTCTCCGTGGGGAGGGAACGGTGGACCCTCTTTGAGCCTGGATGCTCCCTGGCTAACAGCTGCAGAGCCAAGGCCAGGGCTTCCACTGACACTCCCCTCTGGGTGCTTCTGCCTTTCTGGAGCCCTTGAAGATGGTGGATGAGGACCCGTGTAGCATTCACACTACCCCAGCGGTACAGCTGAAGCTCCAGGGTCTGGACATCAGCCTGGCAGCCAGCTTCCTCGAGGGCATTCCTTAGAGCCAGGCCAACCAGGTACTTGGGTAAAGGGGCCATGTAGGTAAAGCCAGGCAAGGACTTTGGGAGCATGGTCTGGCAGAACAAGGGGTCTGAGGAGGGTGGCTGGGATCCCAGGGACAGCAGAAGGTGCCTGGAGACATTTGCCGGCTTTCTATATGAAATGGCATCCATAGGGTGTAGCAGGAGGCAGCAGAGAAGCAGCTCAACTTGTATCATGATGATGCTGAGGTCACGCATGTCTGGAGCAGAGTACCCTGGAAAGTGGAGAAACCCAAAACATACAAACAATTTCTCTAAGGGTTGTGATCTAAAAGGAGCCCAAGGTGTTTCAGGGAACACCTCATACGTCTCCTACTTCCAAACTGTTTTGTTTAGGTAAAGGCCTAGGAAATAGGAAATGCAACCCAATTGCTCCCCCTTGGCCTCTCCCATTTACAGGTCACCTTGGACTTCCTCCATTTTATTTCTACCAACATGCGGGACCCCCAATTACCAGAGTCACTGAGAAGTGAGACTGCCTTGGTAGATTTTGTCGCTCCTAATCCCGTTCTGTCTGGTTCTCTGTCCAATGAAGAAAGCAGATATTTGCTTTCTCCTATGAACAGTAAGGGATGCAACCTCTGCAAATATTTATCTATTTCATACTGGCTGCTCAAACTTTGTCCCCTTGTCACACATTCAACCTCAATACCTGAGATCGTGTTCTTGGCATTTCCTATATGTCCCTGCCACATTCCCACTCTGAGCTCTGTCACCCAGGCTAGAATGCAGTGGTGCAATCATAGTTCATTGTACTCTCAAACTCTTGGCTTCAAATGACCCTCCTCCCTCAGTCTCCCAAAGTGCTAGGAATACAGGCATGAGCCACCATGCCTGGCCCCTTAGTACATATGAAATGCACAGTAGTGGCTCAGTGCCCATAGCACAGTGGTTATGGCACCAGCCACGTACACCAAGGGTAGCAGGTTCAAACCTGCCCTGGGCCAGCTGAGGCAAGAGGATTGCTTGAGCCCAAGAGTTTGAGGTTGCTGTGAGCTGTGACGCCTCATGATTAGCTGGGACTACAGGCACCCACCATGACAGCTGGCTAGTTTTTCTATTTTTAGTAGAGACAGGGTCTCACTCTTGCTCAACCTGGTCTTGAACTCATGAGCTTGAGCTATCCACTCCCCTCAGCCTACCAGAGTACTAGGATTACAGGTTGGAGCAGCCACTTTGGCCTGTTTTTCTAAGTTTTTATGTTTTATTTATTTATTTATTTATTTATTTTGAGACAGAGCCTCAAGCTATCCCCCTGGGCAGAGTGCCGTGGCATTACAGCTCACAGTAACCTCCAACTCCTGGGCTCAAGTGAGTCTCCTGCCTCAGCCTCCCAAGTAGCTGGGACCACAGGCGCCCGCCACAACGCCCAGCTATTTTTTGGTTGCAGCTGTCATTGTTGTTTGGTGGGTCCGGGCTGGATTCGAACCCGCCACGTTAGGTATACGTGGCTGGCGCCTTAGCCAGTTGAGCTACAGGCGCCAAGCCTTTTTTTTTTTTTTTTTTTTTTTGAGACAGAGCCTCAAGCTGTCCCCCTAGGTAGAGTGTCAGGGCATCATAGCTCCCAGCAAATCTCCTGCCTCAGCCTCCCAAGTAGCTGAGACCACAGACGCCCCCCACAATGCCTGGCTATTTTTTCTTGTTTTGGTTGCACCTGTCATTGTTGTTTGGCGGGCGGGCTGGAATTGAACCCGCCACCTAGGTGTATGTGTCTGGCACTTTAGCCACTTGAGCCACAGGTGCCAAGCCAGTTTTTATGTTTTTTATAATCCTCTCCCTTAACTAACTACTTGACCTTTTGTGTTATTTCCCAGAAATGGTGACCTTTTTAATACAAGACAAAGGAGTTGAGATCTGAAGGCCTAAGGGCAGACTTTCTGACACAGGGATTCACCACTCCCCTCACCCTGCTCCAAGACATGTAGACCCTCCTTAAAAAGCCTCTTATCTCCTTTAGTTCGAGAGGCAGATTTCAGGCAGCTTCTCTTGTTCTCTGAACAAAATGCCATCCTATTAAAAATTCCTTCCTTGGCATCCTCATTTGGATCTTTGTGTAACAATCAACTGGACCTGCACTGAAACCCACTTGTGGTTTTGACAATTATTAGAGGCTCCTCTGGGCTGGCATTGCTCATGGTTCGGTGGCTGCAAAGTGTGGACAGACCAAAAGCTTCCATTAGCAGCTACCAAGCCATCTGTGTCAGAGGGCGGCCTTAGACTCTCCGAGCAGCTCCATCATTATTGGCCTCCATTGCATTGGTAATTGCCTACTGATTGCCTCCAAATTGGCTCTGAAGAAAGGAACTCTGGATTTGGGTTGTGACATTTGAGTCCTGATGAATGAGTGCTATTTTATTTATTTTGAGATAGAGTCGCACTTTGTCATCCTCGGTTGAGTGCTTGGTGTCATAGCTCACAGCAAGCTCAAATTCTTGGGCCCACGTGATCCTCTTGCCTCAGCCCCCCAAGTAGCTGGGACTACAGGTGCCCACCACAATCTGGCTATTTTAGAGACGGGGGGGTCTCACTATTGCTCAGGCTGGTCTCGAACCCATGAGCTCAAGCAATCTACCTACCTTGGCCTCCCAGAGTGCTGGGATTACAGGTGAGCCACCCTGCTGGCCCAAGGTAAAGGCTATTTGAAAATACTGCAATCTGGGGAATATTCCCATTTGTTTAAGATTGGACAGCCCCCAGCTATTTGTAAGAGTGGGAACTAACCTAACTGGTTTGATATGGCACTCCCAAATTAAGTTCAACGTATTAGGTATTAGTTGAACTGCAGCTCATTTGTTTGGGACCTGTTGAATTTCTCCTTTTTTTTTTTTTTTTTTTGAGACAGAGCCTCAAGCTGTCCCCCTGGGTAGAGTGCCATGGCATCACAGTTCACAGCAACCTCCAACTCCTGGGTTCAAGCGAGTCTCCTGCCTCCACCTCCCAAGTAGCTGGAACCACAGGCGCCTGCCACAATGCCCGGCTATTTTTTGGTTGCAGCCGTCATTGTTGTTTGGTGGGCCCAGGCTGGATACGAACCCGCCACCTTAGGTGTATATGGCTGGCACCTTAGCCACTTGAGCCAGAGGCACTGAGCCTATTTTACTTTATTTTTAGAGACAGAGTATTATTTTATCTCCCTCAGTAGAGTGATATGATATCATAGCCCACAGCAACTTCCAACTCCTGGGCTTAGACGATTCTCTTGCCTCAGCTCCCAAGTAGCTGGGACTACAGGCGCTCACCATAACGCCCAGCTATTTTTTTGTTGTAGTTTGGCCGTGGCTGGGTTTGAACCTGCCACCCTTGGTATATGGGGCTGGCGCCCTACCCACTGAGCCACAGGTGCTGCCCTGTTTTTATTTTTTTTGAAACACAGTCTCATTATGTCGCCCTCAGTAGAATGCTGTGGCATCATAGCTCATAGCAACCTCAAATTCTTGGGTTCAAGTGATTCTGTTGCCTCAGCCTCCCGAGTAGCTTGGACTATAGGAGCCCATCACAACACTTGGCTATTTTTAGTAGAGATAGTGCCTTGCTCTTGCTGAAGCTGGTCTCTAACTCCTTAGCTCAGGCAATCCACCTGCCTCAACCTCTCAAGAGTTCTAGGATTACAGACATGAGCCACAGTGCCTGGCTGGTGATAATTTTTAATAATTCGGTTTTAAGTATTGACCGTCTTACACATATTATACCAGATGTTTCATTGGATTTTGAACACCACACATATAGCTTGTCAGGAATTAGTACATACTTCTTTTGTGCAATGGGGATGAGAATGACTTTCTTTTTACTTTTTTTTTTTTCTTTCACTTCCAGTTTCACGCTGGACAGAGTGACTTTATTTTTTTATTTTTTTTATTTTTTCAGGGCTGGGTTTGAACCCACCACCTCTGGCATATGGGGCCAGCGCCCTACTCCTTTGAGCCACAGGTGCTGCCTGAGAGTGACTTTATTTTTAAATGCTAATCCACCTGACTAACCCTGAGGCTGGGAGTGCCTGCAAAATGTTTTTCTTTCTTTGAGACAGAGTCTTGTTATGTCACCCTCGGTAGAGTACCATGGCATTACAGTTCACAGCAATCTCAAACTCCTGGCCTTAAGCAATTCTCTTGCCTCAGCCTCTCAGATAACTGGGACTACAGGTGCCTGCTATTTTTTGTTGCAGTTGTTATTATTTAGCTGGCCTGGGCCAGGTTTAAACCCACCAACCTCAGTGTATGTGGCTGACACTGTAACCACTGTACTAAGGGCACCAAGCCCAAAATGTCTCCTTGATGTATTACCTTTTATATAGAGAAATTTATTCACTTTAAGTTATACCTTTACTTCAAACAACCCTTGATGCTATGGCATAGTGACACCAGCAACATTCTCTCAGCAACCTATACATTCCTTCCTGAGCATGTATAATTTTTTTTTTTTGAGACAGAGCCTCAAGCTGTCACCCTGGGCATTATAGCTCACAGCAATCTCCAACTCCTGGGCTCAAGCGATTCTCCTGCCTCCACCTCCCAAGTAGCAGGGACTACAGGTGCCCTCCACAATGCCCTGCTGTTTTGTGGTTGCAGCCATGATTGTTGTTTGGCAGGCCCAGCCTGGATTCAAACCCTCCAACTCAGGTGTATATGGCTGGTGCCTTAGCCACTTGAGCCACTGGCGCTAGGCCGATTTTTTCTCCAGATATTAAACTCTGGGTCTGGGAGTTTGGGGTACAGAGTTCTTCTACCTATCTTGCAGCCACCCAAGACCATGTGTCTATCCTGTGCTGACAACTAGATTTGTCCATCTCATTTCTTTGGTTTATCAGCTTCTTCAGCATTTGGAGATCACCCTGCAGATGTGCCCCTTTCAGGAGCAGTGCCTGACCCCTTTATATAAAGCACATGAGTCCCAGGAACTGTACTTAGGCCATGGCCCTTAAATAAAGCCCACAGTGAGGAGGGAGCTGAGTTCGCTTCTTCCGAAGTTTTGCCCTCCAAAGCCATGGCTATTGTTCGTAAACTCTTGATGATTCACATCTGTGGTGCCCTCCAAGCTTCATCCTTGATATCTAGCAGAGGTGTGTTTGCCTCTTTCTCAGAATGACACTGGATTAACTGCTGAGCTCAGCCTTCACGGCAGAGCTATGCCCAGAGCCCACCAGGAGCCCCTGCCCCTCTGACAGCCTCAGCATGATCATAAGGTCACAGCCAACTCGGTGCCCTTAGCTCAGTGGTCAGGGCGCCAGCCACATACACCAGGGCTGGTGGGTTTGAACCTGGCCTGGGCCTGCTAAACAACGACAACAACAAAAAAATGGGTGTTGCAGCAGGTGCCTATAATCCCTGCTACTTGGGAGGCTGAGGCAGAATTGCTTGAGCCCTGGATCCGCGCCTATGGCTCAAGGGTCTAAGGCGCCAGCCACATACACTGGAGGTGGCAGGTTCGAACCTGACCCAGGCCTGCCAAACAACAATGACAACTGCAACCAAAAAATAGCCGGGCATTGTGGTAGGCACCTGTAGTCCCAGCTGCTTGGGAAGCTGAGGCAAGAGAATCACTTA